GGGACAGCCTGGTTTTGCAACCCACACCCCTGGCTTGCATGGATGCAACCACAGTGGGAAAACCTCCCCACCCGCTGCTCTGGGGCACGACCCGCTCTTGTGATCCAGAATGTAGAACTTCTGGGAGGGAGAATGTCTGCAGAGGAGAAGCGACAGGAAAGAACACAGAATAATTGCCCTGTTGCCCCTGCTCCTCACAGGAGTGAAAGCACTAGGAAAGATGCAAGCAGTGAAGCAGCTCTACTAACACAAGAATATTCCCTTCCATTTGTTGAGTGTCCACTAGGCATCATGAACTCCCTCACTTTTTCACAGTGATTCTGCAAGATTCATGCTATTACTTATTTTACAGAGGAGGAGGCTCTGGCTCAGAGAGGCTAAGTAAAAGCCCAAGGTCACACAGCTATTAAATTGCAGAACAGAGATTCAAATTCCAGCTGGCTCACTCCAAGGCCATTCCTCATCTGCCATGCAGATAGCATCCCAACCCCATACTTTCAGCAACAAAGATCCTTTGCCTGAGTAGTCCTTCTATCTCTGCTTCACATCTCATCTCCTGTGGTTTCTCCCTTTCCACTGGCTTCTTCCTGTCAGCTTGTTATCATGGGTGCCTCTCCAATTTTACAATGAACCAGTACACACAAACTTTTCCCTCGACCCCACATTTTCCCTCCTTCCTTTCACATCCACACTCAATGGCTCTGTTTCCTCAGCTCCACACACTCCCCCAAGTTATTGCATGTCACTGAAATCACTCAGGGTAAAATTCCCAGTGACCTTCTCATTGCCAGATTCAGTTGGTAGATTTCAGTCTTTGCAGCAGGTGACACAAGACCACCTTCTTCTTACTAAAACATTCTCCTCCCTCTGTTTCCATGGCACCCTTCTCTCTCGGTTACCTCCTAGGCAGCTCCTCATTCCGCATCTCCGCTTCCTCAGCCTGTTCTGTGAGTGTTGAAAGGCTCTGCTTCCAGCTTCTCCCCTTCTCACCGCAGAGCTTCCTGGGCTACAGGAAGCCTTGGCTACAACCCCTGCCTGTGCACTGTTTCCTGTCCTGACCTCAGACTGAGCTTCCATGTCACAGACAGAACTTCTAGACATGGCCCCTGAGTGCCCCATGGGTCTTCAGGGTCAACATGTTCAAAATGGGACTCATCACTTTCTACTTCCAAACTTAACTTTTGTTATCTTCTCCACCTCAGTTAGTGACATTCAATTGTGGCACTCAGATAATCCACCCAGTAACGCAAGTGGGAAACCTAGACTCCCAGACTCCCTCCATGGCTTCACGCCCTCAGCACGCCACACACAGTGCATGACACACCACGTCCACACTGATGGGTCACTAAATTCTATCAGTTTTGCCCCCCAAACATCTCTGGCATCAGGCTCCTCCTCTTCTTTCTCACTGCCACTGTCTGAGCTCAGACCCTTCAGGGACAGGTGCGTCAGCCTCCCAAAGCGCTGTGCTCACCCCTAGTCTCGCACCTGCCCACTGAGCCTTCAGCCCACTACAGCTGGAAGGATCTTGTTCTGGAAGGCTAGTCTTGTCTCCTGCAGCTTATTATTCTTTGGGGATTCTCCGTTGTCTAAGAATCTCACCCCATCCATCTCTCCAGCCTCATCTTCCATCACTGCCCACAAACCCTGCACTCTGCTTAAGGCAAAACACCTGTCTGCAGTTCTCAGGTCCCCTCTTCCCTTTCACACATTGCTTCACCTGCCTAAAGTGCCTTTGCTTTCACTCCTCCCCTGTGAAGTCCTGCTCCTGCTCTAAGACCCTGCTCAGGAGCCATCCCTGACCTCCCGAGGTGAAGCTGAGCCTGTCCTGCTCTCTGCTTCCCCCGTGTCTGCTGGACCTCAGCTCTGCTTGTGTACAGATACTGCTTCTCTCCTGAGAGGGCGGAGGCTGTGCTGCCCGCATTTGCATTCTCAGCGCTGTGCACAGAACCTGCCATAGGATGCTGTTAGAGTAGATATTGCTGAAGAAGAATAGGTAAGTGTATGACTTTGGGGAGAAGATGCCCATCTTGAACCTCAGCTAATATTCATAGAATCACACAACTTGGCAGTCAGAGATAAAGCCCAGCCTCGGAGATAAAATGCAACCACTTCTTTATTTAGCCTTTGGAATTGAATGCCTTCTTGGGGGAGGGCACCACTGTACTAGGTACTGGGATTTAAAGATGAATGAATTACCACTCTGTGTCCACAAGGGACACAGAGGTCAGGGATTAGAAAACTGAAGTAAAAGCATGCTTGGCACCTTCTGAACAGGTGCTGTGGCCCGAGGATGTGTGCTTTTATTTTTTATTGGGAGGTGTGGTGGCTGGAGGCTCTGTCCCACCCCAGATGCAGATGTGGTGACTGGAGATTAAAGTCATTTGGGATGAGGATCAAGAGGACTTTATCAAACCTGTGTTTAAGGAAGAGGTCAGCAACATCACCAAATCCCACATGGGGCCAAGAATCATGACCCCTAAATTTGACTGACAGGGACCATGGGAAAAACCACTTTAAACCTTGAGCTGTAGGTTCCTGTGTAATATCTACCAGTTGGCATTCATGTTTGCATTCCGTATCTGTATCTGTATCTGTACCTATGATGTGATGTGCTGTTCTGAGTGGTCTGAGGAAGCAGATGAATAGTAGAGACCCCACGTTAAGAGGTTGAAAGCATGTGTCAACGTCATAAAAGTTAAAGACTGAGGAACAGTCTTTACTCCAATAAATTGGAGAAGAAATTGGATGTGAAAACTAGATGAAACATAGGGTCCTGGATAAGTTCTTGGACCAGAAAAAGTGTATTAGCCAAAAGGGTTACAAAATTTGATTGAGGTCTAAAACTAGCAAGTATTGAATTGATGTTAATTTTCTTATTTTGGTCATTGTGCCGTAGTCCATGTTTTTTTAGATCCGAACCTTAAAGGAAGCAATGTAAAGGGGATACTGGAATTCTTTGTCCTCTTCTTGCAAGTCTCCGTAAGTCTAAAATTATTTCAAAGTAATATGTTAATAAATTTAATTGTCTAATGCCAAAAAAAAAAGTTGAAAGTCTTGGGGAGCTAATGCATGCATACATATAACCAAAATGTAATAAATCTCAGAAGGATTATGGACTAGCATCTACAGAGTGCTTTGGCTTTTGACTGTGAGCTCAAGTATTCTGGGCCGGTGAACTAGCTAGTGGCAGCACTGTGTTAAAGGGGGCCAAGGGCTCAGGCCATGTACCTGGGGCAGTTCTGTTCACTCACTGACTGTGATCTCTAAGCCTGGCGAGACTCATTCCTGAAGACCCCACCTGCATAAGGTGGGGGGAGGGGGCGCTGCTGGATACTGGGGAGGGTCCGGTGCAATTCTGGTTTTGCTGAGTCTTCGGCTGCAAAGAGCTGAAAGAGCTGCCAGTTTCCTATGCCTAGGTGTCTGCTCTCATTTTAATTCTGCATGATCTGGTAATGGGACCAATCCCAAATTGTGTGCATTTGAAGTAGACACTCTCCCTTTGCAAAGTTAACCTGCTCATTTCTAGGTTTTTGGAGCAATTGATTGAGTGCAAAACACTGTTTATGTCAGAGAGCACACAATAAGAAAATTTTAAATCTCATGTAAAAAAAAGTGTATTGCTTGGTTTCAGAAAGAGAAACAAGCCTTCTGTTGGCATGGATATTAGAACAGTACTAAAAAACATCAAAGATAGCCACACACAAACACATCCCACAGTATTTATAGGGAACACCCTCTGTCCTTGCCATATGGGGCGTGGAAAACGGGGCCAGAACGATCCTGCAGAAACTTCCTGATGCAAACCGGCAGGCCAGCTATCCCCCGCGGAACCCCTGCCAGGGCTTCAGCGCTTCCTTCGCGGCTCCAAAGATGCTGTGCCTTTTGGACAGCGCCTGCGTGCAGCCCGCTTGAGGCCCTCAAGGAGTCTACTGTCCTTGGCACCGGGCTGAGCCTGGGGATAACCCCTCTTCCCTCCCAGACCCCTCAGGCAGAAAGACTCCAAATTATCAACCCAGGAGTCACGTGAGCCAAATCCTAGCCCCCGCCCCCAGAGTTAATCACCCCTCCTTCTCTGGGTCTGCTTCCCCTCCCCCTTCCGACTCCCGCCCCGGCGCCACCCGTGCGCCTCCTCCTCAGGGGTTTCCAGGATCTGCATTCTTAAGGACCTTTTTTAAACACAAAACAAAACAAAACAAAACGACCCCCCCCAAAAAACGAGGGTTACTTCTTTGTTCTTTCGGCTTATGAAATTCAATTCCCATCTCCATCCCAGGTTTGCAAATTTCTCCTATGACATGGAGCGCGAGCCACTTCATTCCTGGAGACTACGTTCCTCGCCTTGTGTTAAGCGCTCGTCCTGCATTTCATCTTAGTTAAGTCTCTTAGCAACCCTATGAGGTGAGTTATCTCCATATTACAGATGGAAAGAACCGAAGCACATGGAGTACCTTGGCCAGGGTTTTACAACTAATAGCTGGGCGCAGCTGGGTTTTGAGCTCCAAGCCCTAAGTGTTTATTTTCTTTATTATCACTAGCTAATACTTTTTGAGCAATTACTATATGCCAGGCACTGCGCAAACTATTTCTCCACACTAGTTTTAGAAGCAGGTCTGCCAGTTACCAGTTACGTGATTTCAAGCAAGTTTCTTAAACCTCTTTTTCATTCTATTCCCCGTCTTTAAAATGAGGCCAAAAACATGGCTGTTGCGAAGAGCAAATGAATTAATATATGCAAAGCATTTAGAACACAAACTGACACATATTAATCCCTCAAAAATTTGTCTTTTGGGGGTTTTTTTTATTTTTGCCATCACTTCTATTCACAGGTGAGGTCGGCTTGAGAAGTAAAGCAACTAAGTCCAGATTGCCCCACGCACACCTTATATCACAGACTTGCTCAGAAGTCTTATAGGATGTGCGCCCGCCCGCAGGTGAGTTGCACCTGGCAAGTGGGCGACGTGCTTCTCGGGCTTTGCAGCAGAACGCGCTGCAGCCAGGAGGCCAGGAATGCTCCTTAGCGAACACACAGCCATGGGCCCTAGCTCCGGATCTGTGCGGACAAGGACCTCGGCAGTGTAGGGG